GCATTATGTATTCAAATACATAAGTAAACTTTGACTTCCAAAACAAAATTTAAGAAATGATCGAAAACAAACATGAATGAAACATAAAATTAACTATCAACTCATAACATTAAGTTGAAACTGGCAAGAAATTACATGAACAAGGGACTCACATGAAGAACAAATTAAGCACATCTAAACACTTTCGTGCCAATCAAGAAAGTAAGGATTGTGCTGCAATGGTAGAGGGAGCTACCTGTGCTAGTATAGGTAGTGCAGTATGATTGGTGAAGGGTAGTCACATTATCATCACCTGTTACTGCAATGACACAAAATAAAGGGGTATAAAAGACTGGTGTGCTGTTCAAAATATTAGCAATGCTTAGAGGGCAAATCAAGGTTGAGATAGCTTTGGGTAAGAGAAGGTAATACTGTTTTGTAAAATATCAATATAATTGAATGCCTTTTGGTTTATGTAATGCCCCATCAACATTCCAGAGCATAATGGACATAGTACTGTCAAGGCTGTAAGACTGAATACTTCTGCTATTTGGACAACAGTCATTTTTGCAGCAAGTTTTGAGGAACACTTAGAAAGACTAAGGGATGTGTTTGATGGATTGTAAAAAAGAAACTTGAAATCAAAACCATGCAAGTGTCAATTTTTAAGAAAGGAAGTAGATTATTTAGGTAATATGGTAACTGCAGAAAGTGTAAGACCACACTTCAAAAAGGTAGAGGTATGTAAAAAATTACCCAGTTAAAAACATTAAAGAATTTTTGGATTTGTAGAATTCTACAGAAGATTCACTTCACATTTTCCAACATTTGTAAGGCCATTAACAGAGCTGACAAAGAATTATGTAGGTTTCCAGTGAATTGATAATAGACAGGAAGCATTTGAAAAGAGATTCACTATTGGTGGCACTAATTCTCAGCTACCCTGATTTCAGTAAAGAATTAATTTTTGATACTGTATCAGAGAAACAATGTGTAGCACTAGTGCATGGTATCAAGATGTTACACTGTTATCTGTATGGTATGAAGTTTACTATCATTACAGAGCATGTACCATATGGTGAATAATGGCATTAAAATATCTATCATCTATGTTAGCAAGGCAGTTGTTGCTATGACAAGATAATGATTTCGAAAACATGCACAGTGCAAGTAGAAACACTAATGCAGATGCATTGAGTAGGTTTAGATTAGGAGAGTCATTGGACAATTCAAAACAAGCAATCAACAGAATTAAGAACTAAAGAAAGACAGTGAAGATGACTGTGTAGTTGTTTGGGATTTATCAAAATCATGTTATTATATTATGAACACAAGAATGTAGCAGTAAATTCATTAAGAAATAAGTTGTACAAGGAGAAGAATCTAATAATACATTGGGTTCTAATGTGTTGTTCATAAAAACAGAAAGTGGAGGAAACGCCGAGTTTGCCACAGATAGTAGTACTACAGAAAAAGAGCTGTTTTCTGCAGTACTACTATCTGTGGCAAACTCGGCATTTCCTCCACTTTAAAGTGGAGGAAATGCCAAGTTTGCCACAGATAGTAGTACTACAGAAAAACAGAAAGTGGAGGAAATGCCAAGTTTGCCACAGATAGTAGTACTGCAGATAACAGAAAGTGGAGGAAACACCGAGTTTGCCACAGGTAGTAGTACTGCAGAAGACAGAAAGTGGAGGAAACGCCGAGTTTGACACAGGTAGTAGTACTGCAGAAAACAGAAAGTGGAGGAAACGCCGAGTTTGCCACAGGTAGTAGTACTGCAGAAAACAGAAAGTGGAGGAAACGCCGAGTTTGCCACAGGTAGTAGTACTGAAGAAAACAGAAAGTGGAGGAAACGCCGAGTTTGCCAAGATAGTAGTACTACAGAAAAACAGAAAATGAGTACTTACCATGGTATGCCATTTGTCACATATCTAGCATTTGAAAAAATTATAGTAGTATCAACAAGATTCTTTTGGTAAAATATGAAACTTTTATGAATCATGTATTGAATTCCAGAAACATTAGACCAGTCTATATTTAATGAATGTTCCTCTATAGAAAACGCCAAGTTTAATCATACCATTTCAAATTAAAGCTATGGACATTTTATAAACCCTACCTACATCAAGTTTAGGTAACAAACACACAATTTTCATTTTTCCATAAGTCAATAAGATTTCCAAAGGCAATATGTTTACCAGATAATAAAGTAGAAACTACAGCAAATGCATTTGTATACTAAATTGTAGTTTCATCAAACTCCCACAGCATTTACTAACTGATAAAAGTACAAGTCTCATTTCAATATTAATAAAGGAAACATACAAGTTATGAGGTGTAGGTAAAAATAGAGACAACTGTATACCATCAAGATAATGGAGTAGCAGAAAGATTCAACAGATTCTTGTTAGATGGGTTGTCATGATACTGCGAGTCAGGTCAGAAAACATTGGATGACCAGGTTCCATTATTATTGTTAGCATATAGAAGCACACTAAATAAATCCACACAAGAGATTACTTTATTTTTATAAAACTGTAATGTTACCATTTTTAGAGTTTGTGTTCCTTATTCTCATGCAAAGTTCCTCATAATTTGTACATTATTGATACTGATTGCGTATTTTTGAATTTAAAGAATTACTATTTGTAACTTGGTAACTGTCTCACAATAATGCCACTTTACAATATAAATGTTAAGCATACTTGAGTAAGGAAGCACATTATGCTAATATAATAATAGGTAGTCAAACTTTGATTTATAAGGAAGAGTTTTATCGATGGTGGAACATACTACGTTTCGACAGAATACTGGCTAGTCTTCATCAGGTACGATACGTATTAGGCAATACAGGGCTTATGAATAAAGGCACAAGGATTAAATGTGATTGAAATGATGTCAGCAGGTGACAGAATATAGGTAAAGGTCAAGTTTGATCAAGTGTATGAGCAGTGAACAGACCTTGCCAAATCCAGTTGATGTTGCTATGGCCATACATAAGATCTAATCACTGCCTGTCACAGAAAATGTCCTCCTACTTCACCTACATAAATCATGCTATACAACTATGCACCCACAACAAAAAGACTTACTAATTGAATTGAACTACTTAACTGGACATCATATTCTGAGCATGTCATGAAGTTTTACTAAGTTACATTCAAAATTTAATTAAAGTACTTTATCATCATGGTATATGAATAAACATGGCATCACAATGTAGCTAATTATCCATATTTTAATACAAGTTTCGTTCTTAATTTTATCAGGTGATATTTAAAAAAATTCTCAACTTTCCCTAGTTTGAGAATTGTGACATTTGCTCTCTAGGTATTCTCTCTTCTCTAATTTATTTACCACTCCTCCAACAAGTACAAAACTGAGCATAAATTACTCATTATGATTTTGTCATCACTCAGACAAAGCATAATTACTGTAATTTGATTGAGTAGCTTGAGTTGCATGTACACAAAGTAAGTTAAAGTTTTTTTTGGTAGGAATATTAATTACACGTGGCTCAAAAGGCAATAAAAAATAACATTGAAGTAGAAATGGATGTATACTGTTATGAGTTTATAGCTATATTTAGGATAAACAAACATATTTTTGTGTTTAAATTTGAAATCATTCTAGAAAGAAAAAGAAAAAAGTGATTTAATTTTATTTAGATTTATTTTTTTTGGTGGTTACAAGGTTGGTTAAATTGACCAACTTATATAGTTAAGGTAGAGAAAATAACAGATAAAATATGAAGTTTTACTGAAAAACATTTGAAATTTATTTAGGAAGTTTTAGAGATTATGCAAATCAAATTTGAAAATTTTCAGATAAAGCAAAGTATTTTTAATCTTAACGTAAAATCACTTTGAATTTGGAGCAGTCAACACTTTGATTCCATTATTAACAGAGAAATTTTAGGGAAAAAAAGTTATTTAAAAATTCTGATTTTTTTCATTTACAAATGATTCTTAACACGTACTGAAAGCTTGCAAAATTTCGTGAAGATACACAAAACATATTAGAAGTTATAGTATGGAAAATAAAAAAGTCAATTTGGGGTTACAAAATCGGCTGATTTGGCTAAGCCTCTAGGATGAGTGTTAAAGAATATACCATTATCTAGAGGTTTAAACCCCAATATTGCAGACAGAGCTGTATTAAACTTCAAAACCATAACAAATATGTTAACTCTCTATCTTTAACCTATCAATAACAAACAGCAAATTTGTTTTGTTCCCTTTTAAGCCAGAAGTTGCCAATGAAGTTACTAGCCTATTTAATAATTTGAGCATTGATGTAAAAACTGTATTGAAACCTTCATATAAAATTAACACATTACTACCTAACCCAAAAGAATCCCTACCAAAGAAACAAACACAAAGTATATATAGTACCCCATGCGAGTGTGGAAAGAAATACATAGAACAAACGTCATGTTCCTTGGAAATAAGATGCACAGGACACCAAGATACAGAGGGGAATTTTAGATATCTGTTTTAACATATCATCAAATCGAAATAGATCACAAAATACTTTGGGGTGAAATTTTTTTCATACACCACCTGAAAACTTAAAAAGAAAGAAATTGTTTAGGAACTACAGAAATCATCAAAGCAAACAAATTTCACTAAACCATGATAATGGCCCTAGCAACATTAACCATATTTAGTAAAGTCTTTTCACCACTCGTACACTTGATCAAACCTGACTTTTATCTATACCCTATCACCTGCTTTCATCATTTCCATCACATATAATCCTTGTGTCTTTTATCTTTGTAATCTTATAACAACCTTGTATTGCTTAGTACTGATTATATCTGAAGAAGACAGACCAATTTTCTTTCAAAACATGTACTATGTTCCACCATAAATAAAACTCTTACTTACGCTTATAAATCATTTTGTTTGCTTACCTATTATTAACTTTATCTGTGGTAGTGTGTATCCTATGATGAATTTCATGCAACTCAAAAAACAAAAAATAGTGTACATAATTATAATTAATTTTTTACTTACTGTCTCATTAAGAACACTATTTCCACAGTCTCTCTCCAACTTCCCAGTCTGAAATACACAAAATTACACTAAAATTTAGAAAGAGAATTGCATGTCTAATTTATTCTCACAGACAAAGACATACGACTTAATTTTTTAATTACTTATTTTTCAAGATCTTCTAATAAACATATTAAAATTCTTTCAAATTTACTTACACAACTAACTTTTATTAGTTCCTACATTACTGGACAAAGTATAAGGCAAGATAGTATTTCATCATATTTTCAAAAAAAAAGCTAACTTTTTTTTTACTATTCACATTACATAGTTTTTTCATCTCACTCTCTGGGGAAAATTATCCCTTCTTATTAAAAACCAAACAACTTTTTAAAATCACATACTAGGAAATTTTTATGTGTGTCATAATGTTTACAGATCTTTCAGACAATCAATAACTTCCTCAACTTCCTTAAATGCACTGTACATGATGTTTAGTATCAAATATGTCCTCACACGTGTGAGAGTATTAAAACTTCAAGTCAATATCTTCACAAATTATATGTCTACTATTAACATGGCAAAAAGAGAACTACATATCTTCTTGCCTACAGTTAAAAATAAATAGACTTTAATCACTATGATATCCCTATTTAAAAGTGTCTTTAAGATGAAAAGAAAAACTAAGTTGGTTCTCTTAGAAATTTTGCTATAACAAGAAAACATTAATTACCTTTATCATAGTAAAAAGAATAACATTTTGTAAGTTACATCATTATAACTATTAGTCTCTTAATTTGTTATTAAGCACAAAGCTACATAATAGGCTATATCTGCTGTACCAGTATTGAAACCCAACTTTTAACAGTATAAGAAGTCTTAGTCTTACTTCTGAGCCAGAGGATGGGGGAGGGGGGGCTACATACCAAAAGAAATAACAGCTTGCTAATTCACTAAAACAAAGAAATGCATGTGACATTTATAGCTTTCAATCATAAGCAGTACATGCTTTGAAAAAAAAAAATTAAGGAAACAGAATGATACCAGTTCAGATTTTTTTTAACACATACAATATTGTTTCAAAGTTACAAGCTGTATGTCTTTTAAAAATATTTTCTATGATATAATTCATTCAGCCACCTATCCTCATTACATTTTTCTTAGTATGTTGACAAAACCAAAATATTAGGGAAGTAGTAGAAATGGAGATTTTAGATCCAGTATATACAAAGTTATTGGATGGTTTTATACTACAAATGTACAGCTCAGTAGTTCAAAAAGTCGATACCACATGCTTGAAAATGAAAAAGAGTGCAATGTTTATTACATATATACATATATTATATATGTATTTATATATTTAGTTTCTTTTTGTTCACACACACACACAAAAATATCAGAAAGTTGTGTAACTGAGAATAAAAATCCAACAACCACAGAATAAATTCAAATGTAATATCCATAAAATTTTATTTTTCACTGTCATTGAAAAAAAAAGCTTTTGTTTTATTGTAGCTGCAAGGCCACAAGTAACAATAGGGCTTAGTGTATATTTTATACTGACTTGATGACTGAAGGGCTCTTTACAGCAAGATGAGGGCACACTACATCGCCTGGGGCTTGGATTCTTATCAGAGCAATTGAACAGAGGGTTAAGTGTCCAATCTAAATACCCATTTTCTGTTACACCACAGCAATGAAACTAAACAAACACAAAGAAAAGAATGATTATAAAATTAAGTACTAACACATATATACACAAATACAGCAGACAATACTAAAATTCACTTTACAAAACAAGTGCATCTTGTCAATAATGTTGGTAAGGTGGTAAAACAAACAATATTACATAGGCATAATGATGAAGTGGTTTCCAAATAAAAGAAAATTCACAGTATAGTTTCTTAGAGTTGTAATCTGCAAGAGCAGTAATTCAACATTCTTTATCAGAACCACACTTTGGCACAGAATAGTTAAAGTAATTATAACTGTACAGATGTACAAGTTTTCATAGATTACACACTGCTTCCAGAGAGGAAGATCCTAGAAAAAAAAGTTAACATAAACAATAAAAGTTATAATGTACACTGAAGTTGTGAAAAGACAAAAATACATTTTATGGCTAAACTTCATGTCATATCTTACATACTAGTTTACACTAAAATTTTGATAATGTATGTGCTAAACAAAAAACAGTGGATATTTCAATCAATTTTCAACAATGGAAATACCACTAATATGTATTACAAGAAGAAAAAAATATTTGTCAATATACTTTTGTGAAAGAAATGTGGTTTTAGAATAATAAAAAAGAACTATATTTAAATGTTGTTACTTTTAAACAAATTATTATACATTATATATATATATGTAAGTGTGTGTGTGTATGCAGACCTTGTGTTTATGCATAATTCTGCACTTTCAAGCAGATTTTCATCCACCACACAAATACTCACATTGCCTCTGTATAAGAATATTAACACTTCATAAAGCAGCTCTGAAATTTCAGAAACCATGATTCAATATCATTTTTGATAATTCAAAATGTGTTGCAAATCAGATGCAAATAATAGCATACAGTACATATGAAGAACCAAGACAATGAACCAAAATCATGCACATTATTACACATTAAGTAAGGCTCAAATTCGATGACGAGGAACCCACTTTGAGACTAATAATGGCTGGAGACGGCTTGAGTGGGTAATGAAAAAAAACTTTAATATAAGTTTAACATAACAGCAAAGGTACATTTGTTCTTATGTTAAACTTATATTAAAGTTTTTCTTCATTACCCACTCAAGCCGTCTCCAGCCATTATATGTAAGGCTCAGTTGATTGGCTAATACCACACAACCTATATGGTACACACAATGTGCTTTATTAGATTTTGTTTGCATTCCCTAAAGTAAATTTTAATGTGTTTTACTCCTTTAATAATTATTGCATGTGTATGTGTGCATCATGCACAGAATGCAGAAGATGGGAACAAAACCCAAGTTAGCAATTGTGTTGCACTGTGGAAAATGTATATATATGTATTACTATATGCAAATATGAATAAATTTAGTATTTAAAACAGAACTTCTTAAATACTAACATAGTACAATTTTAATACACAGCACGATGTTTCTTAAAGGACTAGGTAAGGCTTACCTCCCTCTGAACTTGGTCCACAAGTAATTCACTTCCTTCTTTATAGTTCATCACATTTTCTAGACGTATCTCATCATGTGGAAGATGTTGAAAGATGGTTGTAGAGAAAAACGACAGACCAACTAAAATAACTTCACCCACAACTAGTAATGACAGTGCAGCTACATACTACATGAAAATATCACAGAAAATAATTACTTTTCATTGACTAAATGTCTTGACATACATTTTCAAAAATTAAGTATATATACTTAAGATTATGACACAAGCTAATGAAAACAAAACGATTTTTAAAATAAAAATAACATTAAAATAATAAAAATGAATTGTCATCTTCAAGTGATGCTTTTAAAAATTTATCATTAAATACCCAATAATATAATTTAAATATGCATATTTTTGGAGGATATAACTTCTTAAAACCTTATGTTGCACAATTTTGATCTGAAGCAAAAAGGATCATCGCACCATGATTTTCACTAAAGTTCATTCTTTATTACCAATGCTATTTACTAATATAATACATTATCAATTTCAAAAATATTTTAGCTCCTCTTGAGTCTTGAAAAAAAGTTATGATGCATTTCAGGAAACGTTTTAAAAGTGTCAATTTCAAATAGTAAGTGAAGTGGTAATTCATGGACATTTTCCTCTACCAAAAATGTATTTCTGATAAATACTACCTTCTCTTACACTGTAGCTCTATCCTTATGAAAGTTTCTCTTCTCTGCCCATCTAAGCATTGGTACGAATCCTACCTCACTTACTCCAGTGTTTATACCCCACTATATTGTCCATAGCAAGTTAAATCTTGTGACTCTCTCCACCTACATCGATGCAGCCCCTATTCCAGATCCGTATATGAGCTCCCTGTTATTACTTCCTATTTACTTTTTTGACTGTCCAAATTAGCAGACCTGAACACCAGCCATCATGAGAATGAAGGGCAGGAGAGTGTGAAAGGAGGTAAGTATTATTGGAAATACATTTTTTGGTATGGACAATGTTAACGTCTGAAACACACTTACCTCCTCTTATACTACAGCTGGAATCCCAAATTGACAAGATGAAGAGGCCAGTGAGGGCAAGATACATAAAGAAAGTATCTGTGTAGAAAAGAGGTGTGCAAAAATGAGATATAGAAATAGCACACTAGTGGCATCCACACTACTTCTGGAATAGATATACTCTTTGCCCAGACAACATGAAATCTAATTCTTGGACAGTAATGGCCGACCGACCACAAAGGCAAAACTCCAAACATCGTGAGAAGAAAACATGAATTTAGGGACAACTATACCAAAACTGGCCCACTCCTACAATACCAGACACATCCATTCACAGTCAGTCGGCCAGCTGATGTACAGTTCCCCTACACTTGATGAAATATTGTACACAACTCATGGGATTTGTCCAGGCTCTAACCAGGCAAATGAGGTCCCACATCTTGTCAATGGAATTATAGGGCTATGGACCCAAAGCTAGATCCAAGGCATAGTAGCTAGGGCATGAGGACTGCAATGTGGTATTAATAGAACCCAACTTGAAAGTTCCAAAATGTTATAAGTCAAGCCACCAGAATTACAAAGAGAAGGCAAGCAACAGAAAGGTGGACAAACCCTTACCCCAACCAGAAGAAGCATAAAATGCAACAAACCAAACTCAGAAATATGGGACCTTTCTTGTCTTTCTCAACATGAAAAAAAGAGAGATTACCTGGCCTGGGATTACAAACAGAAATCCTAGCTCCCCAGCCTGAGAGGCAAAGCAACACCTCCTGCCCCAGAATTTCAAGAAAGATGTGGAACAAGCTAAGTTCAACCAATGGCACAAGAATTGATGTTCCATGTGCGAAATTACAAGGAGTCAAGGACCCCTTTCAGGATCGTCAAAAAGAAGGGCCACACTCAACTCAACCAGATAGCTAAGTGTCATCATTGAACCAGAATTACAAGGAGGCTCTCATGTACGCTGGTCCTTCTCCCGTCATACACCTGGGAAAAACCATCCAGGGTTATAGGTAGGAGGGCATTTAGCTTTGCCCTCTTCTCCTTCAGTGGAATAATTAGTTCAAACATCACCCAGAAAGAACAAACCTCTGTTCACCACTCCAGCAACTGGAAACTGAAAGTGGTAAGGACTCCCACACTCCACTAGAAAAAAAAAAAGGGGGGGGGATAAATCATGTTGGGAAGGCCCAAGGAATGATGCTTCAGATAAAGTACAGTAGGTGAACCATTTTCCCTAGCAAACTAATCACAATTTATTCAATCCAGGGGTCAGCAGGGATGGGCAAAATCCCCTTATGCATTACTCATAATTGTCATTGAGTGGCGGTCCAGTAGTGTATATAACTGCTGACCAACTGAAACACTCCATCTCAACAGAGCTCGTTGCTACCAGGAAACTTTATCAGTCAATTGATAGCTAGTGCAGATCTGGAAAGAAGTAAACATGTCCAAGCAACACCAGCAATTGAATAGGATCCAAATGAAAATGACGAGAGGGTCCCTGAAAAAGAAATAAACATAAAAGAAATGAAATCACTCTCCTCTCTCACAATCTAGCTGAGCCATGGATAATAGCCATGGGGGTTAGACAAAAACCATTCAATAATGCAACGCCCAAATCATGTAAATAATGAGATATAAATATATTAGATATGGTCCACATACCAGCCTGTGCAATCTCCTCCAGCAGGCAATGCAACAGAGCTACCAGAACCTCGAGATATGGTGAACTTGGTGAGATGATACCCAAAGAAGTTTCTGTTCCTCCAATGATAGCCCAGAGTATGCAAGCACATAAAACCATCGCTGTAACATTCTGCTATCGAGAAAAAGTGAATAGGAAGTAATAACTGGGAGCTTATATACAGATCTGGGACAGGGGCACATTGATGTACGTGGAGAGAATCACAAGATTTAACTTGCTATGGGCAATATAGTGGGGGTATAAAGGCTAGAGCGAGTGAGGTAAGGTTCATATTAATGCTTAGATGGGCAGAGAAAAGTAACTTTCATCAGGATAAAGCTACAGTGTGAGGGAGGTGTGTTTCAGAAGTTATAATTTTCCTATATTGAAAATATGTTTCCAACAGGTACCTACCTCCTTTCACATAAACAGTTATTCTCGTTCAATGCTGCCCTCTATATGCAATTTTATTTTTTCGCATGCCACAAGCCTTGAGCTCCCACATAGCTTACAATCAACTGGTTCAACTACATCTTGCATTTAAATCATCATGCAACAACCCTCCATCAATAATAGTTCAACAGTCTCCTGATGCATGTGACTCCCTCTATTCAATTCTACCAAACTATCACTTTGAGTTTTGGCAGAAAATGGAAGAACCAGTTTTCAGTGGGGAGTAAGGATGGGAAGTGTGAAAAGAGGGAAGTACCTATCAGAAATGCATTTTCAGTATAGGAAAATTATAACTTCTGTTATGGTACATTACCTCCCCCTCACATAAATGGCTTGAATCCCACATTGAATAGGCAGAGGGACTGGTGCAAGAGAAAGAAAGAAGCATCCTTCAAAAGAATCCAAAAGACTCCCTAAAAAAGTAGATGCTTGCAGTAGAGGATCATACATGGAAGACTGAAACACTTCTATACGAGATATACTCTTCACCCAGTGTGGAATTAGATGTCACAGACATGGGTGTAAATTGGGAGTACATCCAAAAGCACACGATACTGGAATCTCAATGTCATAGAGTACATCAATGTGAGTGAGAGTGAAAGGATATGCATCTAGCTAATCTTAAAACAAAAATCACTTTGTACTTTGTTTACTGAAAGTCTGCCAAATTTTGTGAAGATATACATACTATATTAAAAGTTAGTAGTATCAAAACTACAGACTTTAAACAAGTACAAAGAGGTCATATGGTCGGTCAAATTGACCAAGCCTGTGTTGAGAGAATTAAAAATGACAATTCCTCAGTTGAGTACCACCACCTGAAGCCTAGGCAATTGTGCTGGAAGTAAATAACATTTTTGAAGTAAAAACATAAGCTTCAGTGAAAAAAAAAAAAATATCTCCACTTCGTATGAAATTTAAAAAAATTAGGGAAGAGAGCACAAACAAAAAATGTCTTGACAATAGCATTGCCAAATGAGAAGTAATAGATTAGTAGAATCAAACAGAGGAAGTCACATGTGTCAGGAGTGTGTGTGTTACACTCTTATTGGTGGAGGGTTTTCGCATAATGATTTAAATGTGAGACGCAGTTGAACCAGTTAATTGTAAGGAACATGTGAGCTCAAGTTTTGTAGCATGTGAAAACATTTTTTGCATATAAAGGTGGCACTGAATGAGAATAGTTTTTTTATGTGACAAGATGTAATGTACTGTAACAGAATTTTCTCTTTTAATTATTTCATGCCTTTTGGAAATCCACTTGTCATAGTGCTTTTAATAAGTGTTAGAGAAATTAGAAAATTACACTTTTTATAAATATTGAGCTTTCTTATTAATACAAAATGCTCAAAATCCTGAAGCTTTAAAGGTTTTTACTCCATCAACCTCCATTGGAAGACAGCACTGAATTCTGCAAGGTGTGTCTGGTGGCCCTAGACTTATATCCTATTATGGTTGTCAAGCACTATACAGTTTCTAGAGGGAGAGCTTAAATAAAGAATCAAGTCCAACTAATCACATGACAAAAAGTAGAAAGACAAGAAAGAATCATATCTACTAACTATAATTATTGTTTCATAATCTATAAGCACAATTGTCAAAAACAGCCGACTGCTGACACTAATGATTATTTAACCCTATGAGAAAAGTTGGGTCAAAATGCTCACATCACTAACTTTTATAGATAGTTAAATTTGATAAAATACTTTTTATTATTGTTTTATGTCAATAAACTCAGCATAGTTTATATTCCTAATCCATTAGGGGGGATCTAAGTCAATAAAACAATACATATCTACATTTAAATGATATTTAAAATAATAATTGTTCTGAATAATTTTATATGTTGTTTTGGATACAATCATTTGCATGAGCCATCACAAACAAATCATAAACAACTTTGTTTAAGAATTTCATTCATTTTAGATCTGAAATAAAAAACTAATAAGAACAAAAATAGAAAATATAATATTTAATAACATACATCCCAGTATTGTATATACTACAGTCCTGACTGTCACTGAGAAGCAGAAGATTATCCTTGTAATACTTAATAATGGGGCAGAAAATGTCCTCAAAAGATACTGCCCTAGATTGATAACTGTATACAAATAACAGTTAATATAATTAGGCATAAGCTGATGAGCTGACTTTGATGACAAATATTTTACTATTTCAACCTAGAAATTACGTTTATGACATTCATTCTATTATATTGTTGCCATTTGAATTTTCACTTCTCTTTCTAGTATGAATTCTAGGCAATTACTGATGAAAAATTAAGACCAGAAACCATGTTATTATTTTTGAAGTGCTTAAAGTGAAGATGTAATTAAGAAAATTCTGAAAGGAAAAATCCACATTCTTTATACTGTAAACAATTTTATGATTTTAACTTTCTGACAAACGAGTCTTGAACTTATATTACTTTAACACTAAGAATCCAAAAACAGTCATATAACAACTGTTTGCTTGCAAATGGAGGTACAATAGATTGAAAATCTGTTACTGACCAGTATTACCAAATCAGTGTATTTCTCACTTTATAGGTCAAATTTTCAAATCATTTTCAGTTTCAGTGAAACTGAAATAAACAATGATATGGATTGCCATCATTGAAAGGGGAGGAATATGGAAGAACTGGGAGTTAAACTTTCGAGGACTTTTCCAGGATTTTCATGGGTCATGCAAATCCTGAAAAATAAAATGAATTGCACTAATTGCTCTTACATTAAATATATATATATATATCAATATAGTTTTTAATGTGCAATATAGTGAATACCCAAAAATGTTACTTTAAATACTTCATATTTCTTGCCTTTTCATCATAAGTATTAACTTATTTTCTTGCATGCAGGAAAGAACCTCATTAAAAATACTGACACAAAACAGGTCTATATAAAAGTAATTATAGGCTGCTCATTATTACATTTTTGTCATTAGAACATCTTTAAGTTGACATTGCAAACATAGCAAGTCCTAGATGTTTAGTAGTCTTAGACATTGGCTGAAGGTAGGAACATTAAAAGCTAGTCAATCACAGAACCATGTGACTGAATGTCCACAAACCTAAATATTATTTCTGGTTATAAAGAAGTTCCAAAATTATGGAGATATTGATTGAAGACAAGGCAAAATTTCCTAGGAACATGACACCAACAAATACTACCACGTGACAATACTGGAAGGAAGAAATAGTCAGTATTTATAAACAACTTGCTGAGGTCCTAACTAATGTAGGATAAAATCATCCTTTACTAAACACAAGAGGTGGGGTGCTCCAAGTAAGATGATCTTTGGTATGTATTCTCTCAACAAGGGCATTTGGGATCGTGTAATAAAATTCCTCTTGGGGTTAAGGTCAATGGAATTGTGTTCTCTAAAAGATGAGTTCAAATTCAGCCTACAACCTAAAATATGGCATATACTGATATGAAGAGAATGTGGAAGATCTTGCTGTAATGTTGTAAACTGGAATAACTTTCAATGGACATACCAATCTACAGATCTAATTGTTTGAGAGAGTAACTCTGACTGCTCAACATTATAGTAATCCTGATACCTATGTACAATCATCATTTGCAGAAGCTATTGTATGAGTACTTTGTGGTATTTTTAAAATAACATTGTGTTAGTGGACAATAATGGATGTCCACATAGAGGTTATCTTGTTAAGCATCTCACAATGAAACTATAACTTGTTTGGAAAGTCAAACCCATTCCCCCAGACTCAGTCTCATTGAGCATGCTTGAGCCACTCTTTGAGAGATGTGTTATGTTTCTTCAACTCCCTCCAAGAACAGTACCCTCAAAATAGAACAATGCTATACATAGAGTGCAATATGTACAATGGCCATGAAAGATGATTATCTATAAATCCTTTTAGCCATTCTTGGGATATTTTGGTGTATTTATATTTTTATAACTGTTCTGTTTTACTTTATAATTTGGGTTACTTCCACTGATCTAATGTCTCTAAGCTAATATCACATTAATCTTTTAATTCATATAAAAGATTTAAAATTCACTTTGTTGCACTATATTTAGAACCATTATAAATTATGAAGATTTTTTAAATGTGTGTCTAAAACTTTTACAATAACCCATTCTGTAAAATGAAAAAATACAAAAAACATACCAATCTCAAAATAAAACCATTTTCCTGAACTATTCCCAAACATCCAATAAAGCTGGTAATGAAAAATACACATGCTACTGCATTGAATCCTATAGTGAGCTTCCAAACTTCAGCTTGTGCATCAGTAACATCATCATAAATACTGCTAACCTCTCGTTCCTGCTCCCACAGTGTCCAAGCACTGATCCCTAGAACAATAAGTCCAACCACCTGAAACATTAAAAAAATACTTTTAACTCACATTATTAATTCTATTGATTACTTAATTAAACTATTTTTAAACTTGTAATTAATACTTACAACTGACATGCAGAAATGTAAAACTAATAAAATATTCTGGACTCGGATCTAACTCATTACTATTTTCAGGTATTGGAAGACATACAGCTTCATTCAAATTAAATAAAACCAATTTCATTTTAACTTAATATTACAATCGAAACACAAATTAATCAATAAACAATTACTGTTACATAAATCTATGATTTGCTACTCTGTGTATGTGTGCATGTGCTGTGCTGGAACTTTGTAAATCAGGCTCCTAGCATTTCCTGCAGAACAGTAATAATACTACCAAAATAGCATATCATCATATGATAAAATTGTTGTATTTATTTTACACCTTTTTAAATACACTACTCTAACACAAATTAATTTCCATTTAGCCTAATGTCTTGTATCCATATGAAAAATCAATGTGGGAATATAGAAACGAAAACATTCTTTTTACCAAAAAGTAATGATGTATTAACACAAGCAATGTTTTGTGTTGACACTGAGATAATAATCCTGATTAATAGCAGCTAAAATCAAGAAATGTTTGTCATTTATTATAATTAGGATTTTTGTTGTTGTTAAAACAATTTCACTCCTAGGGAAAAGTCTTTGTGGCAGCCAGATTCTTCGGTGCAGATTATATGCATGTACACAACTTATCTGTAGCCTTATTGAGATGTTTATCGGTACAACTGTAATATTACTTTCCTCTTTAAGGACAAGAATTTGGCTATGTATATTTTCAGAATATACCAATGCAGATTTTCACCAATGGAACATACCTGAAAACAAAAGTACTCCACATTAAATTTTATAGACAAATAAATATAATAACTTCCTGCATAAGAAATAATCATATTCAAGAGAATACAAATTAATCTTATAATATAATGAACATCCACAAACTAGCCAGTGTAGACAAAGATTTACAGATATTTACAGGCTTTCTTTAGATGCATTTACTTGTACTTGTTTTATTCCCAATACTAAACTGACTAACTAAGGGCAAAGGGGGGGGGTATCAAGGATAAATACCCTAAGCTAAAAAAGTTTAAATAAGTGATAGGATGTAAAAAATGTAACAGAATTA